TCCATATCTATATCATTTGTAGATTCAAATAATTCTCGTATGGTTGGTTATAATCCTGTATTTGAGTTTGTTATGTCACCTCTTTTTCGTTGTGGAACTAATGAATCCCATTCGTTCATTCCGTGCTATCGACTCCAAATTATCCCCATTCTCATCCATGGCTTCCAGTCCACCACCATCCATGCTACTGGTTTGGCAGTTTGCCGATTGGAACGTGGAACAGAAACCCAAAATGTAAATCGTGCTATCGACTTGCCTGGTAGTTAACACTTAACATCATTCTCTCTCTTTTGTTTTTTATTGCCCCATTTCAAACGTGCTAACTGACACAACAGGAGGATATTTCTGGCCATGTAAAGTGGCTGATAAACGCTGTCTTGAGATCCCAACAAAAGGCGGTCTTTTCGTTCCAAAGGGAAAACTGGACCACAAATTGAGAGCGAGCATACTTGCCCGGACCCGGTGACTAATGATATCTGGTCCCATGTCTCATAGAGACTCCCATCACCATCTCGCTCACAATTAATATCTGGTGAGTGGAGAGACAGGGGTGATAGTTCGGTTTGGTTAACGGTAGGAGTGTTCAAACGGTGTGGTTATCGTGGTAACCATTTTAATCGGTACTATTTGGATAATTTGATTTGGTTTGGTTAAAGTTTTTGGCTTGTTTGGTTTAGGTGGCTTGGTTTGGTTTCAGACACTCCTAACCAATCAAACCAAATTAACCAGTTAAGTAATTAGTCATATATCTAACATATATTATATACACATACTTAATACTTTGCATAACCACTCAAGAGTTAATGTTAATCCCTTTTAGACTCATAAAATATAAAGCTCAATATTGCTCATATAGTGTATATTTGTATATGTAAAGTGTAGACCACAACATATGGACGCCTAATTTAGATAAAATTCATACATTATGATGGATGAAAACTTGAAAGGAAGGTCATTTCCAGGCTACAACCTATGATAATTGCTAAGAGACTAAGTCAATTTACACAAACACAACAATTCATTAATCAATACCATTGTCATAAATTTTTGTTAGGTGAATACTTCTATACTAATCGTAAGAAAAATTGTCTTAGTTGCATGTATTTTTGTTAAGGGTCAACTATAACTACGTGTTGATTGTTATGTTTTATTCATTATATAAATTGCGAATTGATGCATTAACCGGAAAATTTTCATCGTCAATGATAATGTGATTTTATATTGGTTATACTGGTTAACCAATTAACCAAACCGATTAAACTTTAGTTTGGTTAATTTGGTTGTTGTATTAGTTTGGACGGTTTGGTTATGATATTGTATTCCATGGTTAATGGAATTTAACCTTATTTGGTTTGGTTATAACCAGGGTAACCATTTGAACACCCCTAGACTTAACGGGAAAAAATAATGTGTTAGAAATTAAAATCGAATTAGATAATGGCTCAAAATCGAAATGAAACAGTTAAGAGTTTTTGGATTTCGATAGGAATAAACCGAAAAGAAAACAAATCTTTTGACTGTGTTAAGACTATATGGGTTTGATCCCTTTTCAAGGTTAACGTAGTTGGGCCCATTTAATGTTGGCTATTAATAACATTATTATATCACCCTTAACAAAAAAAAGTTAACATGGTTGGTAACATACATCTGCTTCATTATAAAATAAGTTTTGGAGGAAATCTTTGAAAAATGCAGTTGTTGATCTTTTGCTCTCCATAAAATATAAAGAAATGAAAAAGAAAAAAAGAAAAGAAACGACTAAGGAGAGCAGCACAAAGTTTATGAATGTGAAAAATAAGTTGTTTTCTAGCCCAGTGGCCAAGTACTCTAAGGTTGAAAATTTTCCTCATGTACTCTTGTGCTTAAAGTGTATCAAAGCAGACTAGCTGAGGAAAATCGAGTTGTATGTGCTTTGATATGAGATTTGTAGAAGTGGCCATGATGTGGTAATTGTTTTTCCATCACTATAAAGACATTGCTCCCATGTCCTAGTCCTTATCCAAGTTACAACATGATAAAAAGCCCTTTTGACAAGTTAGTGGTGACCCATTCATGGATATTCGATTGTATTACGAAGTGTTTAAGAGCTAATTTCCTGAAAAAGAGATGATAGGATTGAGAGTATGACATGCGCATCCTCTTCATAAATTATGGTCTTGACCACATTGGTAAAGTGTTGAGAGATTATTCTTTCTATATTATGGATTTGCCCATTCAAGACCTAGTTTGTTTAACTTTTTGGTCCGTATAGCTATTCTATGTGTGTGGATGACTTGGAGGTATTGGGAGACAAACTTGTTCTTAGGAAGTTTTGTAACTCTGATGCGAAGTTACACATGTCATGAACTTGCTATATTTGAATTTGGTTTGTGGTAGTTGTTGGTTTTTCTATCATATTACTTCATGTAACAAAGTTTATGTGCTCCTATAATGCCCCTGAGTTGGTTTAATCCGAAGATTTTTGGGAATTTGTGTTTTATTGGTTTGCTTGGGGAAAAACAAAAGGTTAAGTGTGGGGGAGTTTGTTACGAGCTCATTTATACATGTAAACCTCGTCTCATGATTGTTTCTTGATCATTTACCTTAGAAACTTCTTATCCTTTGCCAAGTTTATGCTAGGTTATGCTCTTTTGTCATATTTCATATAGGGATGGCAAAAATATCCGTAACCGTGGATATCCACCCGAATCCAACCTAATCGGGTAGGGTAAAACCCGAACCCGAAGCATTTTTCGTGGGTACGAGTAAAACCCGAACCCGAATATTGCGGGTAATGGGTGGGCATGGTTATCTCACTATCCAACCCGAACCCGCCCGATTATACACATGCATATGTATTTTGTCTAGAAATAATCATTATGTTTCTCTAGAATATTTTATATTTAGCATATAAATATAATATTTTCATGAAATTATGTTGTTTTAATTAATTTTCGTCATTCTAGTGAATTATTGTCGTACTTTTCCTCTTACGTAAAGTGAGGATACGTGTGAATGTTAACATATTGGTTGGAATTATAAAGAAAAATTATTACCCATGGATAACCGTGGATACCCGAAACCCGAAAGGATATGGGCATGGTTTTGATTTTCTACCCGTTTCTCGTGTGGGTACGGGTATGGGTAAAACCCGAACTACATTGGGTAGGGTAACGGATATGCACTATCCGCCCCCGACCCGACCCATTGCCATCCCTAATTTCATATCGTAGAGAACGGTGAAGGCTTGTTAGCGAGTTTCAGGGCATTTGTAGGCAAAAAAGAAGCAAAAGAGGGACCCCAATGATTCTCACGGTCATGGGCATGTAAATCACGACCGTGAGAATTTTCATATCGTGCAAGCTCATCTCAACCTTCTGTCCAAAAGTACAGACACATGGCAAAAGCACGAGGGGGTACTTATTCAGAGTCACGCCGATGTGTTATTCTTGAAGACCATAAGTGAGACGATGCAATTTTTACAATGCACGAGCGGGAACCTGAAAAGCCCAACGTGATTTCTAGTCATGCTTTTGCCACTGTCGGGTGTAAAAGGGATTTTTTGTGAGTTCTGAAGGGGAGAGCTGGGTTTTGGACGCCCAACACCTAAAGGATGAACCCTAGAGAGGGACAGCGATCCAGAGGTGATCTTGGAGCAAAATTGGAAGATTTCTTCACCATTGGAGCTTGAAGAACAAGCTTGGAAGTGAATATTGAAGATCAAGAGCATATTTATATATTCTCTCTCCTCTCTATGGAATAACTTCTCTTCACTTGGGTTGAGGAATCCTAGTTATACTTTGTTTGACTTGATAATTGTATGTGTTCTCTTACTTGTTAAACTCGAGTTCATATTCAATCTATGCATGTTTATGAAACAATTTTGCTTTAATCAAGATAATCAATTTCTTCTTTTACCTATGATAGAGAATATCTAATTAGGTTTATAAAGCAAGATTGAGTGAAAGTAGGTGTCGATTGTGCGAGAGTGACTAGATTCATTGCTTTGTATTGAGTGAGAATCTTTCCCAATAGAGGGAGTCTAGTGTGAATTGCCTTGGAATTTTTCCTTGGTTGAGGGTAATCTCCCTCTAAGCAGTCATTTCAAAAGGGACTTGTATCAGTAAGCTTTATTCAAGATTCAAGGCTTGTTAAGGAATTTCCGCATTATGAATGAACAGTGAAACAAGTAAGAATTGTCAATCATTAATCAGACTAGTGACTAGGGGGAACAAGTAAAAAACTATATCCTGTGGTGATTTGTGAATCCATCCAGCATGTTTCCATTTAAAGTAGGATAGTTCAACTTCCAATGTGTATCGGAGAAGGCCATCAAGACCGAATCCCCTGTTGACTTCTTTTTTTTTTTACATTGGCAGAGATTCAAATATAGTAATGAAGATAAAAGTAAACAACTCATGCTAGCCTATCAATAGTCGAACTTCCAATAAGCAGATCTTTTGTACTACAAAATAGGCAACCCTATCGAAGTGGCGAAAAGCAAAATTGAACTCATAAACACAAAGTTCCTCCATCGAAAATAGAACCAATGCACAAATACCTACGCCAACCCGATGACAAGTGATATCTGGTGCTATGATCTCACAGAGGATCTTCAACACCAACCTATTCCAAAGGACCAAATATCCAAATCAAAGAATGTAAAACCATACCGGAGGATATACCGAAAAGTCAGCAATATAATATTTTATAGGCAAAATACACTTGTATAGCCAAAACTTTAGCGTTTGTGCCAATAATAGCCAAATTTGGCGAAATACCACTTGTAGCCACTTCCGTCCAATTCTTTAACGCTGTTAGCGTTAAGTGTGACTGGCCAAACGAAGACGCTTACGTGGCGACCTCTTATTTCTCTTTTCCTCTCTAATTGTCCATGTGGATAATAATTAATTAGAAAAAATTTAAAGCAACAAAAAACAAGAACCCCTCGTTTGACCCACCCACTTTTCCCTCTGTCTTATCCTCTTCTTCGTATGCCCACCCCTTCTGAGAAAGACGCAATCGACGACCCCTGATATTCCTTCCTCCACCATCGATCTACCCCCTCTTCCAGTCCCGATTCTTCTCCATTACTCTCTTATGTCTGAGCTCATCTTCATCGGAAGCTAGCTCTTGGCCATTCGAACCAATCATTCCTCTTGGCCATTCGAACCAACCATTCATGGCGTCACTAAGCTTCGCTCCCCCAACCATTCATGATCTGTACAGAATCGGCGGCGCGGGTCGGTCTATGCAACTTCAAGCTCGTGGTCGACGCCGACGGTGAGAATGGAAGCGCGGCAGCTGAGCCAGATCTGAGCATGACGGTGAATGGATTGCAGATGCCTAATCAGTTCGTGATCGGGTCCAGTCTCCTCGAGACCAACTCTCTGTCTTTCTTACTCTCTTTTGTCTTCTCCACCGCCTTCCAACTTCCTTCTTCCTCCTCCTTTTATTCTCCGATTCTTCTTGTATACCTCTCCAATTACGAAGCCATCGTCTCCTTCTTCCCCGAGCTCTGCCGCACTAATCCCTTCCAAGGCCATCATCTCCTTCTTCAGCGATCCCAGATTTTGAATTTCAGTAAGGCCTAGTGGGTCTGGCAGTGGCGGGCATTTGTGGGTGGGTTTCGCGGAGGAAGTGGAAGGCCCCATGGGAGGAAGGCGGAAGGCGAACCAAGACTCGGAATCAACTGAAAACCCTAAAAGGAACTCCACATCCAAACCCAGATCTGATCCGATGACCTGAGTCTCGCGGTCGGGTTTATCTCTTGTGTTTGAGATTTACAGGCGGCAGCCGCAGCTGTGAAATCGCTACAGTTATGTGTGCTCCGGCGGGCTTGTTGCGCGCAGTAGAGAAACAGATTGGGTGACACGCAGAGTGTGAAGTGCTTGAACCTTGAAATGGATGGGTGAGAGACCCAGTTCGCTGGATTAGATATGGGAATGAGAATTTTTTGGAGATTTGGAAAAGATTTGGAAGATTGAAACTTCAAGCTGGATTTGGGTTCTATAAATGGTTAGAAATCGCCGGTGCAGAAAGGGTACAAATTTAATACATTTTTTAATGAAAAATACATATATGGGGTATATGAGGGTGGGAATATAAATTAATATTTTTATTAGTTTATGATGTGTAATTATTAAATAAATTTAAATTATGACATGTCACTTTTTGCTTATTTGGCGCTTATGTGTGTGTTGAGTGGGAGCCTAATCAGCAAACCGTCAAAAAAGTTGACGGTGTTACTAACACCGTTAAAGTATTTAACGGAAATGGCTAGATTTGTCATACGACAATTACAAAAACTGGCTATAAGTAGAATTTCTCCAAAATCGGCTATTATTGTCACAAACGCAAAAGTTTTGGCTATCGAAATGTATTTTGCCTATTTTATATTAAAATTGTAATTTAACCGTTGCTTAATCGTTTCATACTGCTAAAAATTATCTGACGGTTTAGTCTTCAATAAAAAAAATTCTGATCAAACCACTAGTACAAATGTCCAGCTACTACACATGCCCATACAACTTACCAGGCTACACATTAGGTGATAAGTCAATTGTGCAGACTAAATAGATTATCGTCACTGAATGGTTGCAGGCTCCCCTCCCCCTTTGATCCAACCAAGACAAGGGAAGAAGAAAGGAAGTAAATTTAACCACCCAACTCTACTCGACCATTTTTTATTAGCATAACAGTTTTTCATGCACACAAGAAGGTCATTTGGATGCAGGTTTTGGGCGTGGAATTTGGACACAATCCCACATAGTGAGATTTTAATTAAAATCACTCGTTTGAAAAGCAATTATATGATAAGAGATTTTAAATATTAGAGATTTCAGAAACCCACTATGATCATCAGCTATTTTAAAATTCCACACAAATTCCACAAATTGAAAACCTAAATTTGTGATTTGATCCAAAATCTCATAATTAAAAACCGGGATCCAAATGATCCCTCAAAGAAATGGGAGCTGCACCGTTCTTGTCCTTCAAATTTTGTAGTAGTGGTTTCTTAAATCGATCAAGGTACTAATCAACACCGACTGCAGTAAAACTGTAAAACTACCGTAATAATCAACATTCTGCAGCATACTCGACAGTCGACCCGAAGGATTAAAAAGATGAAAAACAAATTAAACAAACCACCATTGGATACCATTTAATACAGATAATAATAAGCCTCTCATTAAGTAGAAATTGCAGTACATAGATATACACCCAAAAAAAAAGCCCAAATAGAAATGGATCCTCTAAGATTAACAGAGGGTTAAAAATCTCCTCCGCCCAAATCAAAGTCTTTCCGGCCCACTTCCTCAAAAAGAAAAAGCAAAAACAACCCACACACCCCTAAAAACTATTCTGAAAATTCCCAAGCGGAAAAAGAAAAAGCTTCTCGTTCCTTCCACGGAGCTCAAAACCTTAATTGATAAAAGCACACTAATAATTTACTGATGATAATCCCGCCGGTCCTAAGCGGCGGACGGCGCCGTAACGTAATGAACCACTCCGGCCTCCGACAACGCCGCCAGGAACGGCTGCACATTCACCGCCTCCGGATCCACCACCGCCGCTTCCGACCCGACCCAGTTCCCGTAATCCAACGACTCGTCCTCGTAAATCTCCCACCATTTCTTCACCAGCATCTTGATGTCCTCCCTCTCCATGTTCTCTTCCTTCCCCGTATACCTCCACGGCTTAGATCCCTGTTTACCAAAAACCAATATTAAGTTCTTTGTCTATATCCATAATACGAAACCAGAACCAGTCAGTCTCTATAACTCGATCGTGTCTTCGACAACTTACCGCGGCACAGTAGTGGACGACTTTGACTTTCTCCAGCTGGACATTCTCCGGGTGACGCCACAGCATGGCGAGCACGAGATTGTACACATTGGGAATCGGCCTGTAGACGTCCCTGAAGAACATGTTGAGGAAATCCTGTTCGGCGAACGGTGTTGGCGGGGTGATCTTCAGCTTCTTCATCAGCTCGTCGTAGATCGTCAGGCTGGGCTCGTAGACGAACATCCCGGCGTTGAAGTAGAGAGCGGGCTTCGGGCCCAGCTTCTCCACGGGCCAATCGACTTTATCGGGCCTCTGCTGGCAGTACCCGATCTTGTGCTGCGGGGTGTGGCTCCACGTCTTCTCGCAGAAGCAGTCCATCACTGCGTAGAAGTGGCCGTCGGGGAGGTCGAACAGGTGGTCGATGTTCTCGAACACCTGGATGTCGCCGTCCAGGTATATCATCCTGCTGTACTCCACAAACTGGCACGAGGAAGAAGCAATAATTCAATCAATCAATGAAATCGCTACTACAAAGTGTAGTAAAATACAACGATCTATTAGAGTAAGAGTAGTACCAAATTTTAATAAAATTTTACTACTCATACTCTAATACGATATCTGGGAGGAACGGAACAGTTACCTTCCAGATGCGGAGCTTGGAGTAGTTGATGACGTAGTACGCCATGGCGAACTCGGTCTGGTTGTCGGGCGGGCTGACGGGCTCGATCTCCCGGACGATGCAGCCCTGGGAGACGAGGATCCGGCGGTGCTCCTGAGGGACGTCGGGGAGGATGGCGACGACGAGAGGGTACTTGCTCTTCGCCTTACGGAGTCCCTTGGCGAGCCCGACGACTCCCTTGACGTAGTCGCCGTTACCGGCCAGGAAGGTGACGTAAGCGCACTTGGATATACTCGGCTGCTTCGCCAGAGTGGCGGTGGTGGTTTTGGCGGCGAGGGCGCCGGCGGAAGTTGGTGTGATCTGAGGAGCCATTTGTAGCGAAGTGTGGAAACTGTGTTGATGAGTGAAGGAAAATTTGGTAGTATTTTTTTCTCTTCTGTTTGCTTTGTTGATTTGGTTGATGGCTTTGTGGTGGATTTTGAAGGTACGGGAGGGGTCTATTTATGGAGAAATGGGAGGCAACGGTGAGAATTTTTAAATTTTTTTTTTTAATACTGTGCTTTAAGTTTTACTAATTTATTTTTTTTATAATTAATTGAAGATGGATGGAAATTCGTGATTGGTTATTATTAATTTAAAGATAGGGTATTTAATGTGGTGGGGCGATGAATAATATATATTTATTAATAATTATCTGTGTCCAGTCCACGGGAGAAGAAGGTACTAGAGAGTGGGAATCCGTGATCGGACGGTTGACAGACGACGAAAAACGCATCGGACGGCTCCAGGCAAAAGAGAGAATTTGAAGCAAGCTGGAGGGAAGATACTAGAAGTAAGAAGATCCCTTCTCCAGACCTTTCCCCTGCTACTGCTGTCTGTTTTTACAATACTACCCCTCTGGTACACTGTTCACTTCACTTCCTGGAAAGAACGCGTAATTCGGGAAATTAAATTAATTTAATCAACTCAGTCTTTTGACGTTTAGCGCCAAATTGCAGGAAATGGTGGTTACTTACTGTTTCTGACCGCGACTGGCCGGGGTTTCTAGCACCAGCCGACGACCGACGAGAGAACGTGAGGCCCGCCGTCGATAGACGACACGTTACCGACGTTCCTTCCCGGTCCTTCATGTAGAATCCTGGCCGTCCGTTCACGGCTGCTGTTACTCTCCAGACTTCACGGTTGGGGAAAAAAAAAATGGGACCCACAGTGGGAACCACGAGAAGTGCCACGAAGGAGGAACACGTGGTGGTAATCGAAAGAGGAGTCGTTCTCTCTTGTCCCGTCCTTCGTGTGGGACCCGCCGGGCTTTGGTTGCGTGGCATGTTGAGGGTGTGGGCCGGCGCCAAGTGTCGGCAAGTTATTCCAAGCGCCGGGTCTACCTGCCACGTGGGGATCTTGGATCGCGTTCGATCGTGGGTGGGCTGGATACTTGAGAGCTTGGGCCTTTTTATTTGGTTAGTTGGGCCTGGATATCGTGGCGTCGGCCTTCTCCTCTAATTGGCTGGTCTGGTCTGGTCTGGTCTTCAGTTGACCTAACGCAGTACTTTTTTCTTCTTTTCTTTAGGGAGGATAATGGAAAGAGATTGGACATAGGATGATGAATAATAGTAAAAGATAGAGATATATGGGATTGACGAACCGACAATTTTTTGGATAACGTTTGTACAGTGTATGTGTGTACAAATTAATTAATGAAGGGATTGTTTTGGTCAAGACATACCACGTTTCAAGGCTTGGATTGGGCCAACAGTAGACTATGGGGCACGTAATTTGCTTCTGAGACAAGGTATTAAACCGCTGGTAGACAAGTTTTGGGTGCTTTTTTTCATCCATCAATGCACCTTCAAAAAACCCAAACGTGATTTTCTTCATTCAATTTGGAGGGACCCAAAATCTTAGCTATCATGATCGATCTTGGTTTACTTTGTCAGTTGAAGGGAGAATCAGTTACATATTAATTTGTATGATCGTTATATTGTCCACATATTTTTAGAGAAGGTAGTTATTCAACACGTAACCTTGACAATGGTTTTTTATTAATTTTATCGACGATACAGTGCATGAATAATGACATGCTTGTTTGAATATGGAACATACATCTTATCATCAATCCTTAATTATAATGTAATAATCGTTATTCGAATTCTAGTGTTAGGACCTAATGCGATAACCGAAGTTAAATTTTACTATGTGTTCGATCCTACCTTGTAGCAATTGAATAGGTTAGGGTTAATTGCAAGGTTGGTCATTAAGATTACTAAAAACGTCCATGTTTAGTCACTGAAAATATTTAATTTCACTTGTGTTCACTAAATTTAGTATAACAATTCAAGTTTGGTCACTCTCCGTTAGTCTCCGTTAATTTAGACCGTTATGTGCTGACGTGGCAGACAGAATCATCTAGTTAGCCTCATTTAACTCAAAATTGATGAAACCTGACCCGCCACGTCAATAAAACTTGCCATATCACCTTACCCAGCCACACCCAACACTTTACCGGTCCGACCCATAAACTGAGCTACTCAAACAAAACAAGAAACTATCCACTTTCTTTTTCCAGATCTGAAAGCTATCTTACCTCTAGTTCTTCATTTTTCATGACAGCTAATTAAAGAACTTCCAACACACAAAGATGGGGAACTTGAGAACACTTTGCATGACTAGTACCATCTCCCCCTAATGCTCCACCTCCTCCAGCTCCTTGTCATGACTACCATCAGAGGCTTCATTGTTTGGGGGGAATCACCGTCCCCACCCCAAAACCCAAGCAGTCGATCTTCCACCACAACAATGGCCGCTCCACCGTCTTTGCCTTCCACAGGGCGTCCGAGGCCGTCCTCAGAGCCGTCAAACCTCTTCCTTTCCACTCCTCCTCATGCGCTACCGTATCGACATTCGGATTGCGTAAGATATCGCTTTGTATCCCATGGAGCCTCTCCGGGCGACTCCACGGGAAGAGGTTCTTCTGGCGAAAGGTCAAAGCTGGAGTCCTCCACAATCGGGAAGAGCTGGAATGAAGTATCAGGAGCAAAGTGAAGAAGAAGAAGAAGAAGAAGAAGAAGAAGAAGAAGAAGAAGAAGAAGAAGAAGAAGAGGCGCCACAAGAAGTCATCAATTCCATCAGATGCTCCTCGTCCTAGCACCTATCAAACTTTCCTCTCGTCCCAATCCAACCCATTCCACTCTGACCCGCCACAAGAACTCATCAAGTTATGGGAGCTAATGTCCCGCCTCGACCCTATCGACAGACGACAGCTTCCGCCTCTCTCCTATTCTTCCATCTCGAATGGACCCGATTGATGAAATCACCCCTTTCTCCAACCCGAAGCCGCCACCGCCACAATAGAGGAGTTGGAGCTCTGCTCTCCCATCCAGGAAAACAGAGGGAAAATGATGCTCGGCCTTTGCCGCATTTAGATCTGGGTCTCAGCCGGAGAAAAATGAAGGAAAAAGATGTAGTTCCTTTTGGTCTGTGGCTGCCGCCGCCCGCGATTATTGCGACGACCGGGTGAGGTATCACCTGGGCTGGTTGTTAAACGAATGGCAAGAAATATGAAAGAACTAGAGAGAATAGTTTCAGATCTGGAAAAGACAGTGGATAGATCCTTGTTTTGTTTGAGTAGGTCGGTTTAGGGGTCGGGTTGGTTCGTAGCTTGGGTTGGATTGTGTAAGATGACATGGCAAGTTTTAATGACGTGGCGGGTCAGGTTTCATTATTTTGGTTTAAATGGGGCCGATTAGACGATTCCGTCTGCCACATAAGCACATAGCGGTCTAAATTAACGGAGACTGGCGGATACTAACGGAGAGTGACCAAACTTGGACTGTTTTACTAAATTTAGTGACCACAAATGGAATAAAATATTTTTAATGACTAAATATGAACGTTTTTAGTAATCTCAGTGACCAACCTTGCAATTAACCCGAATAAGTTAATTCGAATCCTTATATTTAGTGTTTTCAAGAGAATTTATACATCATATATATTCCTAAATAAAAAATTTCATGAGTGTGAAATAATGGTAAAGACATTGGCTGGCTCTGCACAAAAAGATTTCTGATGTAAATATGCAAGCAGGGCCTTCGAATGAGTTCTGGGGGCTTTGTTCAATAAATAGATATTGTCCATTTTTCAAATATAGTAACCATAAAAAACCATGATATTAGTTATATATTAAATAGAAATCATCACTTCATTACTTAGAATCTAATATCCTAGCATTATTCTAGAATGAAAAATGGACAATATCTAATATCCTAGCATATATATATATATATATATATATATATATATATATATATATATATATGGGGAGTTCTACGGTACCCAGGGTGAAATCCGGTGTACCGCATACCTTGAGTAAAAAAACAATGTCCAGAACTTGAATTGACTTATCTTTCAGACATAATACTACACTCTAACCCTTAAAGATCAAAATCTAGGTCTTAATTCTCTAAATCTTATACCCCAAGATCAATTTAATTAGAAACAATAATCGACGGTTATGATTCGTCCAAATATAGGCAAAAAAATCAATGCACCATCTTTAGGGTTTATAGTTTATGATTTAGATAATTAGGACCTAGGGTTCACTCATGAAGGGTTAAGGTATTGTATCATGCCCAAAAATCCTGCTAATTCGAGGCCTAGATAGCGTTTTCATACTCAAGGTATGAGGTATCCCGGATTTCACCCGGGTACCGTAGAAGTCGCCATATATATATATATATATATATATATATATATATATATATGAAAACAATATCCACTAACATAATTATTGTGAAGGCCCCTAATATTTGATGGCCAAAATATTAACTAACTGACTTAACCTCTTTAGTAAGAAATATTGTATAAGACATCGTTGTGGAATTTCGAAAAAAGAAGCTAGGTTGGTGAAGATTAGAGATAGCGTTAGGTATACTTTTAGGTTTCCTAGTGATCAAATGCAATAGTCATTTTACTTGAATTTTATTTCTGGTGTGAATTGGAAGAATTTGAGCTTTACCAGTATTCTTATCTATCTTTACATGAATGAACCACAAGTTTACGCGGTAAGTTAAGATGTGGGATCCAATACGTCCAATTTACAAAGTCAAGGAGGAAAGTGAGGGAGCCCCCACATGAATTTAATAAGTCACCCCAAATCCATTCCATGCACGTCGATATTAATTTAGTTAATATCCCATGCCAACAACAACAGTTGTTTAGTGTAAGAAAAAGGAATGGTCGGTCGGTCGGTCATCTCAATATCATGGGATCGGTTAGCTTGACTACCCCTAAAGGGGTAGTGATTTTTGACACCCCCTTTATGATTGGCCAATTCTATTTCCAATCATTGGCAAGTATTAATTAAACTGGTTTTTTATTTTTTTTAATCTTGTAATTTGGGGTCTCTCACCACATTGGAAAAGAGAAAGAATCTGGGGAAAAACGAAATCACCCCCATTAATTACATAATTAATTTCTCTCACTGGTACATTAATTACACGTACCACTCTACTGGTACACGTACCACTCCACTGGGTACGGGCAAAACCCGAAACCGAAT